GAGAAATAGCTTCGAAGAATATAATTATAAAATTTCATCGTTTATTAATTAGTGGTTTTTGTGACTAGTCATATGTGCGACGATTTTTCAATTGAACGCTATTGTAAAACTAATATAAATATTTGTGTAACCCGATGATCAAAATCTAGACTTTCCCTATGCTCTACGTAATATGTTAACAATACAAAGCTCATCTCATTATTTTATCTTATATATATTAATTAATAACACAAACTTCCTCATTGTCTTATATATGTCCATAGAAAAAAGCTGTTTACATTGTACAATCCACAAAAAAAAATATCGCCTTTCATTATCTTGTATATGATAATTAATAAATTTCGTTCCTCCGCTACTCCGGAGAAAACTAATAAATAGGGAAAGAGAGGGAGAAAGAGGGAAAGAGGGATTAGATCTTTAAACTTAAAATATTATGGAGTTAAAAATATTTTCGAAAATGCAAATTCATGGTTTATTACTTTTGACTCTGATATATTCTTTGTCAAAAATCGAAGCTGGCTCTCAATTTAGATCATGTTCATATTCTCCCGATTTTTACAAAGTGCTCGTTTCTTTTACCACCAGTATTACTGATAAGCAAAAATTTTGTTGTACTGGTTCTCAATGTGCTAATTTGTCTCCCGAATGTCCCTTATGGGGAGGAAATATTCGAGGGCAATGTGAAACGGTTGGTGAATCTAAATTTTGCGTTACTTCTCTTGTAAGTACAGCACATCATCCAGGGGAATTATGCGGAGGAATTGTGAACGATGTTGTCTCTACCAATGCTACTGTCCCAGCAGCGAAGCGGTCGGAAGTATGTTAATGATTGCTCAAAATTTTCCTCCAGATTTTAGTTGGTTATGTTGTGATGACAACTCTTGTACGGAACCGACAAATGTCACAGTAGATGCTACGTCTCATGCTGCTAAAACTAATTGTGATAATGGTCAATATAGCATGATGTGTTTTTTAGATAATGGGAGTTGGAGTTGTACTGGAAGTAAAACCCCTGATATCAATGATATTACTGAACCGATCGGAAATTGCGCAATATCTGTAGTTTTACCTGGCATGTGAGCACACTTTCCAATGGTGGATACACAACAATCGTAAACAAGCAACAACGACTACAAAATTAGATGATAATATCTTTAACTTCGGTATTAGCATTTTGTTCTAAAAACTATTGATATTTCTTTGGTCAACTGTTAGGGTATTGATTTATATTGTTCTGATTATATTTCGATATTTAGGTTCAATTACTACTATTATTAATACTATTACTATCATCATAAAACGTTCGCTTAATATTCATTTTCTCAATAATTGACATCTTGTTAATTGAATCAATTAATATTATTATTCTATAAATATGTTTTCAAATTATTTTTTCATCACTTTCCTTTAGAATTTCTCCTATACCCTATAGTATTATTACCCACCGAATCTACCGAGTAACGTAATGTTATTATTACTTGAGACCCAGAATAGATATCTAAGTAGCTTCTTTATAAATAATTTCCCAATTTTAATATCTCTAGAACCTTTATATTGTTATAGTAGTACCCTGGCATTATTTAACATATCATATCTAGTGTTGAGCATTTCCTCTAAATAAAAAAAAAATTTTTAACATTAAAAGAAAAATGAATTTATGATAATAATTTTCATATTTATTAACAATTTTGATATGAGTGTTTTACTGATTTACATGATTTTATTATTTGTTTTTGATTATCTCTAATCTTGTAAATTTTTCTTCTATAGAGATTAGTCTTGCTTCAATAATAACTATTTTTTGATATAAACGCTTGACATAGATCATATTTTTGTCATATTCTAATATATTTCTGAGCGGTGTGACAAAATCCCTAATGTACTCAGACGCGCTTCAACTTTTTTTTGTGTAATTCTTACTTTGTTCACATAAATAAAAAACCTTCGAGTAAATGTTATCTTTGTCACTAGTGACAGAGTAGCCAAAACATTATTTTAATATATATTTGAACTAATTACGCGAATTATATATAGACTGCGATGGAAATAGATAATGAGTAAGAGGAAGAAGAAAATGTAGTAGTAAATCCATCTTCTTCAAACAATCAAAATGCCGAACACACAGAACTTGATTTCGAGAATAATTTAATAAAAATTTGAGATTTATTATATCGTAACGTCGCTTGGGTACCTGAGGCATGGTTAAAAGATGTAGTGTCAAATAACATTTGGAAGATTTATTAATTAAAACCTGAACATTAATGAAGATTGGACTAAAGTTGATCGAGTTTTGGACGTTGAATATCGAGATTGATCAACTTTATGTGATCTTTATAGCTAGAGTTACTTTTAAGAAAAAGTAGAGAAAAAAACTAAAATTAAAAATGAGTGCGTTCTTATTAAGTGGGAAGGAATAATTATAATGATTATTATTTATTTTATGATTTACAATTTATATAACAAATTGGGAAGATATTGATTACCTTGATTCACTTGAACTCAAAGATGCACTTGAATACATTTAATATTTTTTACAGTTAGGGATATAGAAAATCAGATTATCTTGAACATTCAAAATATACGAAAGAACCTTTTAGTCGTTTAATAAATTAAAGAAATATCAATTGGATAGATTAAAGTAAATATTTTTATATTTAAATTATTTAAATGTTTAATGTTTTAAGGTTTTTAATAATTTCTTTTAATGATTTATTTTTATCATCGTAATTTTTTTAGCTGGTTGAGACATTAGTGAATGTGATAGAAATTCTTGTATACTTTCTGATGATATGGGATTAGGTAAAATTATATACAGTAACTTCCAAAATAAACGCACCACTTTTAACTTTAATTTATAACACATGTTTTAATAATGACATTATAAATTTATATTTATGACAAAATAGATAAAATAGAAGTTAAAAAAGTCTTAAGTAATGAATTTCATGTTCAGTTTAATAATATTATGTCATTGAAATTAATTAATTTGTAAAAAAGTAAATTTTCAACTTTTTATTTAGGATTGTAACAAATAAATAAATTTCGGAATCTGATTCTATATAAAAAAATTAGTATATATTTAAAAAATTGAATAGATTGAATTACTAGTTATCAAGAAATTTATGTTTAAAAAATTGAAATGATATGGATTTTGAACTTGAATTTCTTCATAACTAGTGATTCAATCTGTTTGATTTTTCAAATATATAGTAATTTTTTTATATAGAATCAGATTCTGAAATTTATTTTATTTGTTATGATCCTGAATAAAAAATTGAAAATTCACTTTTTTACAAATTAATTAATTTCAATGACATAATATTGTTAAACTGAACATGAAATTCATTACTTAAGACTTTTTAACTTCTATTTTATCTATTTTATCATAAATATAAATTTATAATGTCATTATTAAAACATGTGCTATAAATTAAAGTTAAAAGTGGTGCGTTTATTTTGGAAGCCACTGTATTCGATAATGATAAGTTATTTGATAATAAATTATTTATAATAATATATTTAATAATAATAATAATTAATAATGTAATAATAAATTAATAAAAATAATAATAATAATAAAATTGATTAAAATAATTAATAATAATTAATTATATTTTTTACTATTGTAAACAATTCAAATAATATCATATTTGTACAAAGAAAATCACGACATCCATTTATTATCATTGCAACTAACCTACAACCACTGAATGAGTAAGATTTAAACGATGGCAAATGAAATTGGTGATAGTGGAATTTCATGGAGAAGAGATTCATGTCAATTGGTAACGGATTATGAAATGTATCCAGATAGTGATGGTTTGAAATGTTATGTGGTAGTTACGACAGTTGAAGCAATTGCAATTTATTCTTCATTATTTTCGCGAGTTCCATCTTGGGAAATTTTAATCGTGAACGAAACACATAGTTTAAAAGCGGGGGAAACTACTCAAGTGTTTAGAAATTTGAATAAAAAAAAAAAAAACGAATGTTTAATTTAAAATGTTGTTTACTGGTATTTTATCGATTTTATTTATTATTTATATTTTATTTATTATTTTATCTATTTTATCTATTATGTTTTATTTATTATTTATTATCTTAATTTAATATATTTAATATATTTTATTTTATTAGGAGCACCTTTTTAATGAATAACATGGATGAACTTTATAATTTGTTACATTTCTTTTGTCAAAGAATTTTCAAAACCTAAGGAATTAGAAGAAGAATATCAAGGATTTACTTCAGTAGACCAATTACCTGCTTTACATAAATTATTTAAACGATATTTCTAAGGACCAAGAACCAAGTTAAAAGTCTTCCTATAGTGAATATTAATTTTAATAATAATAATAGTTAATTGAAATTAATAATAATTAATAAATTATAATAACGGATGATGTTATAGTACGAATTGGTATGTTTCCAGATCAAAAATGAATTTACAAAGAAACTTTTGAAACAAAATAACGAATCTTTACGTCGAGTAGCTAAATTTCGTATCAGGTCAACAGGATTTTCTAATAGATTAATGATATTACTACAAATTGTTTCAAAATCCTTATTTAATTAATTAATCAAGAAGGAGAAAATCTTAATGATGGAGAATGAATGTCTTTTAAAGTTATGTTGAAACTGGATATAAAGAATCCACATTTTCCCTAGTTTTTTAGACATGTTATCGATATTAGAAGTTTGTGAAGTAATGATTATATTTATGATAAACTTGTAATTATAATTATAATTATATTTATATATTCATATTTTATTTTATTTTATTTATTTATATTTATTTATGTTTATTATGTTTAGTATTAATTTAAGATGGTTCAACTTCACATGAAGTGAGATGAAAAAAAAGTATTTCAGCATTTCAAGCACCCCGTTCTAATATTTCCATATTTTTATTATCTACTCGAGCAGGTGGAGTAAGATTAAATCTGAGTAAGTGCAATTTAAATTATTTAAACATTAAATGTAAATTTATTATTAATTATTAATTATTATTATTATTATTATGTGGCCGCGTTTACAGTTAATAAACACCAAGATCTTCAAATTTTAAGTTGTGTACATCAAACTAAGGTAATAAATTATATCTTATCTGTTATGTTTATCCTCTTTATTCTCTCTCTCATTTTCCCATATGCCCTTGTGATTAATAATATTTTTTATTTTTATTCTTTTAAAGAACGAATTTTTGAAAATGGAAAACTTAAATTAGCTAGCTAGAAAAAAATGGGTGATGAAGTTCGTGATTTAGAAGAAGAATTAAATGATATTGAAAAATTGTTAGATCGAAAAAAGACGCCTCAGCGAGTTTTGCATTTTCAAAGAATTTGAATAGTGAAAATCGAGTTATTTTAGACGAAGAACAAATAAAAAGGATAACATCAACATAATATCAACATCAACATCACCATCTCAATCAACAAATTATCAACACATGTAGGTTATGATTATAGGCTAACAACTTTCCCTACTATAAGTCATCATCGCTTAATCAACATACTCAACGACGCAATCGACACAATCCATACAATCCACATATAATAATAATATAATATAAGTAAAGAGAGTAATGTATATATACCAAATAATAATAATCTAAAATCTATATCAACCCATCCTAATAATAATGGTAGAAGTTCTGTTATAATGATGTCGAACTCTAGCGAAAAATTAATGTAATGGTAATTCCGGGAATTCTGTGGTTGGTTGTGACGGCGTTTTATCATCACCATCATCCATCGAGCAACTGCATTCCTCAGACATATTATTTATCCATTACACCCATCACCAAAAACAACTTATAGTCATATGATGATGATAACAATAATAATAAACAATAAATTTTCATATCATATCAATAAACGAGACAAACAGAACGAACAAGTCACGATGACAATAAACAAGATAAACACGAAAAGAAAAAAGAATAATTTAGAAGTAATAAAGAAATTATGTCCGAACAAGAATTAATTTTGATCAGTTACAAATTAGTGCTGAAGGTTTCAAGAAAAGATTACGTTCATGTATTCATAAACTAGATGAAAAAAAAAAGAAATATAAAATAATTGAAAAATTAATAAAATAATTATTACTTTTTTGGAAGGAATGCAACTTTTTCTTATTTGGTAGATTTGTTATAAATGTTGGTGTGGTGTTAATTGGCTCGGAATTAAAATAAATTAAATAAACTTAATCAGTTTGTCTATAAACTTTATTAAACGCGACTTGCAAAAATCATGTGATTTAACAAAATATGATCATTATTTGTATATATATAAAAATTGCGAAATTTTATTTGATAAAAAGTCTTAATTACATACTCTATACTTAGAGTTAATATTAAAAAATTAATAAATAATGCCTTATAATTAAATAAGTTAAAATAAAATCTATAAATTAGTTGTTATTCAAATCATTATCACACCTAATTAAAAAATAAATAAATAAAAATGAATTAAGACGTGAATTATAAAACCAGTTGTTGATAGAACATTTCATTTTCATCTTCTTCAGTATTATTTCTAAAGTTATTATATTACTTCTAACTTTTAAAAATATATTATCGTGGGTGCGGGAATTGTGCTGGTTAATCATCACAATTACAAGTTAAAAAATGTAATGGTAAAATTAGTCATTATTGAGTAAATAAAATAAAGTGAATAATTTAATAAGTAAATATACAAATCGATAAATAAATCGATTGAAATAATCTTCCATTTTATTGATTGTTCCGACATTGTGAGATTTTTTAGAACCATTTTTTTAAGTATTAAATAAATATTAATAATAAAAAAAAAAAAATTAAATCTAAAATCTAACCATGTCATTGAATATAATAATATAGTTAGAAATTGAATTTTAAGTTTTGAAAGAAATAAACTAAAAAAAAAACAAACTTTTTCCGGAGGATATTCCTATTTATCAATTCCTAGATCTTAATTTAAATAAAGTAACCAATATATACTTAGTAATTAAGTTTCAAAAGCATCAATTCTATAAATTAAATTATTAAGTACACCATAATTCTTCTCTATATTATTTTATTACAAATAAAATAAAATTAGAATTGTTAGAATTATTTCTTTATTATTTAAAATAAAAGATAAAATTAGATTTCAATTAAACAAATCAATTAAAATAAAAGAATTTATAAATCTTATTTTAAAATTTTGGTTCTTCATAAATTAAATATCGTAATCACCTTGCTTATGTGATTCTGGAATCTACTTATAGATGAAAAAAATTGTAATGTTAACAAATGACTCACTAATGATAGTTCAATATTAGAATAATTACATTGCTATTTATTAAAATAAAAATATTTTAGAGTTATAATTATCTTTTCTAAATTTAAGGTTCTTTGAATTGACTTTTTCCAGCCCTGACTTATATAGGAATATTCTATAGGTATTATCCTGTAATTTTTTTTAAAGATAATACTTTTTCTTTTTTGATCCTTCACCAGAACTTGATTTTTTGAGTGGAGAGTTCTTCCACTTTCTTGTTTACTATTTTATTTCTGTTTTATTGACCTTAATTTTTACTAGCTCTTTGATACAGTAAATTAACAAGTTGAAATCGGCAACAAAGAAAAAAAAGAGGAAACAAAAGGAAGGAACTTACAAATAGTACACATAGTTATTACTGTATTTCTTAAATTGTTGAAAATGTCTGCAAAGAAATATAAAAAAAATAGCAATAACCAATATCTCGCCTGTTCATAATCACTAATTATATATATTAAAACTAAAAATGCTAATAAATAAGTGATCCTTTGAACCACCCCGAACAAGGCGCTTCTATCTATTATTGAAATATAGTGCGTTACGTCTTAACTCGGCGAAATTTTAGGTCAACTTTAAAATGTATCTACTTCTGGAAAAATGTATTATTTAAAAAAATTCTACATAAAAATTGATAGCTTGGGTCTAATCTTTCAATCTTATGTGTAAATTTTGATTGATTGTAAATATTTCTGATGATGAATATCATATTATTTGATATAAAGAATATTAATTGCTGGAGGATATTAAGTTTTTACAAAGAAGGTCAATTTCTTGAAAAAAATGAGTTTATAGTAATACACAATTTTCATATTTTGATAACATAATACAAAAAGAATTTTGATTTTAATTATAACATTGCAATCTTTTTCAATTTTTCATTATATTTTCTATTCATTGCATTTTTTATACTTTTATTCATCTAAAGAGTAACGAAAATTTTTACATTGTGCATAAAACAACAATAAATGAGAATTTAATTAGCCCAGCAAACAATTTTTATGTATATATTATTAAATAAATAAATTAATAAAATTTCTGCTACTGCTTAAAGTCATAAATGTAGAATAAATGTGGGTCACTTCTTTTTTTTCATAATTAAAAAAGATGAAGATTATGAAATCTAAATTTCTACATCGCAGATACTTTGTTGTCATTGATATTATCATCATTTGTAATAATTTTATCATTAGTTTGCCTGTTTTTACGTTTTCGCCAGAAATAGTATCCTACTATTCCTCCTATAATAATTAACCCAGCAGTAAGACCAAGAGAAATGCCAAGTTTAAGTTTTAAGTTTGGTTTATTTGGAAGAGGAACAAGATCTATCCGAGAAAAGTCAACTGTATTTAAAGCAAATATAGTTTCATTACTATCTTTATCAGTTCCGGAGGATCTTCCTAATTATGCAAATATAAATGGACATAAAATAAAATAAATCGATATTAATATTTAATTTTACCTTATAAATATAAGTAAATGTGTAATTTACCAAATGCAATATACATTAGTTCTTTTTTTTCTTTGTAAATAGTTGCTGAATGACCAGCCAGGGGTGGATGAGATTTATTATCACTACTTGGAATAGACCATTCATAAGATGAAGATCTTATCTTTAATACTGCTAGAGTAATATTAGGATATTCCAAATACGAATAAGAAAAACCACCATAAATAATAAGACGTTCGTCACTTGCTAGAAATTATAATTGAAAAAATTAGAAAAAATTTTTTCAAAAATTTTGTAAAATTTTATTCTTACTTAATACAGCGGTATGAGCGACACGACCATCAATACTTTCACCTTGTGCAGTCTAAAAAATAAAGAATTATTGATTTATATGATCAATTTCATGACTTTATCAATGTTATATATTTTATACTTACAGCTGAGGACCATTTTGATGAATTGATATCATAAAACAAAAGCTAAATGAAATAAAAAGAATGATAAGCAATAATATATTTTTTTTGTTATTTTTTATAAACTGAAGTTTAATTACATCTTTCATACTACAATCTTTACTTAAGATCATTCCTCCAACAACAATAATAAGACCATTTGGTAATAATGTTGCAGTATACAACGTCCTTGAAATATGTGTTTCATTAAATTCTCCAGGAAGATCTCCAGAGTAGTTGAAGCTTGACCATGACATCATATTAATATCAAGTTTAATAAAAGAATCAGCTGATGGATCCGAGTGAAGCGAAGAATCTGGGTGAGCAAAAAAATAAATAGTTCCATTATCATCTGATACACCTCCATTCAAATAGCGCCTTGAGGACACAGAAGGTTTATTGGAAGTTTCTACTATGGACCATTTGGAAGTTTGGGTATCAAATCTATAGACTTGCTCTGGACTCATAAGATTAGAATCTAAAGTAGACGAAGAACCTGGTTTGTATGCAAAACCTCCAATCAATAAACAAATATTTTCATCTTTAGGATGAATCACTGAAGAAGATTGGTAAATATCAACGGGGATATTGTCAATGACAGTATATTCTGAAGTATTTACATCAAAATAAAATGCATCATTCTTTTCATCTGAACCATTAAAACCCCCAAAATAATAAATCTTGGAGCCAATAAGAACACTACTTTGAAACACTCGTGAACTTGGATTATAGCAAAAAACGGTTGCTACTAACCAATTTATTGTAAAGAACAATTTTAAAAAAACATTAGATGATTTCAAATTCATTTTTTACAGGAAACTAGTATGTGACCCTTCACTTTGCTGACGGGTTGATTTTATTTAAATTATTATTTTTATTACACAATATGCGCATTAATTAAATTTTATTATTTAGCACAATAATATTTGCGGCGGTTACTCAAAGAATAGTACAATAGGGATTAAATCATATGGGCGGATTTATTTGATTGCGAAATCTAAAAAATCTAAATAAGGAAATTATTATTATAAAAAACGCCCTATCAATTCCTTTTTTTTTAATAGAAATCAAAATAAATCCGCAGATTATTACTTAAACCCCAGAGTATAGATTGTAATCACGTTAAATGCATGGGTTAGAATTAGGTAGTATATTTTTCATTGTGTCACACCTTTCGAATATTTTTTACATATGGAAATACTATACTTGATTTTTTTTTTTGATTAAATTCTTTCTCTTCGATTATGGTATTATCACATTACAAGCGAATTTTTATGATGCGATGTTAATGATACCAATTTTCACCAAGACTTTAATAAATACTAGGTTATAATAGTTCATTCACCACCATTATCATTAGTAATGTAATTATAATCTTTTTTTTATTTAGATAATAAAATTGTTTTTAATAAAATAAATTAAACTATTGACTAATAGTAACTAGTTAAATAGTATTTATTATTATTGCTGTTTGTTTTATATTATTGCAATTATCATTTTTATAAACAAGCTTTAAACTTTGATAAAATATTTAATACTAATGTTAAATAAGCTTACATCGATAAAAAAAAAATTATATACAGTATATGCTGGTCTTCAATATTTTTTTTATTAATACTAATTAATAAAATATCTTTAATATTTTCAATTTTTATGTTAAAAAATAGAAAATAAAATTGATCTGATAATATTTATTTTTTATCATAAATTTTAAAAAATATTAATTAAAAATTCCAATACCAATAAGCATTTCAATATATCATTTTATTATTAATTGGCTCACCTCATGATAAATTAAATTAAGACCAATGAATATTCTTTAACTTTGACAATGTTTATTCAATAAATTTTCGTTGATAAAAAATAAAAAATAAAAATAAAATTTAAAATAAAATTTAAAACAAAAAATAAAATAAAAAAATAAAATAAAAAATTAAATAAAAAAATAGAAATAAAAATGAAAGAAAAAATAAAAAAATATAAAAAAAAATATATAAAAATAAAAAATATAATAGAAAAACAAAAAATAAAATAAAAAAAAAAAACAAAAAATAAAGAAAAAATTAAAAATAAAGTAAAATCAAATAAAATGTGAAAATAAAGTTAAATGATGAATTCAATTATTTAGCATCAATCTTTCTATTAAAAAATTATAAAAATTGGTTTACATATTATCTGAAGAATCTTGCGTTATTTGTCACAATACTTTTAAAGATATTGTAGAAATGAATTATTAGGAAGTATATTTTGTTCCTATTTGTGCTATAGATATACCCAATGGTAATATACATAAAAGTGGAATTGAACTTTATTTTATTTTTAATAAAAAATTTTTCCCATAAATTAAACTTTCATAATTCTATCAGATTAGAGTAGTACCATACTAAGAATTTTGACAGATATTTTCTTTTTTTGTACAGTAATAAAATGTATCTAAAATAAAAAATAATAATGCATATTTCACTGGGTAAAACAGAAAATATATTGACAAAATAAATCTCAATTGAAAACTATATCCATTCAACTTTATGATCTGTTAATATTATTGAGATCTGAAAAAAGAAACAATAAGACATCAAGTTATGCTTAGAATAAGATTCAGAATAAATTTAATTGCAAATTAATATGAAAAATATAAATATTTTTGTCATCTTCAGTTAAAGTTTTGAAAACTAAAGATACTAAACTAAGTAAAGATAAAGTACTGATATATAAAAAATCCCATGAATCTAAAATGCCTATTTTCCAATAATCTTATCTTAATCATAAGCAATTGTTGATATAAAATGGTTTGGTGCTTTTAAGGAAAACCGTTGCTTTTGGAAAAAAAGGAAATGATTTGGTGAATTTTTTGAATATCTTCTGTATAATAAAAAATAATTCAATCACTTTCCTAAAGAAATATTCTTCGATAACAAGCCATTAAAGAGTTAAGTTGTTTTGATGAATCATTAATTCTTAAAACAACAACTGATACAGCAACTACAAGTCAAACGAATTATAAAATACACCCAGAAGCATTTATACCAGAGACTTCTCAATTTTTCAAATCTTCCAAAACCTAAAAATTATGAAAATTTAAAGAATTAATGAATTTTTTTAAGGCAATTATATTTATAATTATTTATTTGTACTTTATTATACTCAATTTATTTTTTTTTGACCTTTTCAGGAAATGATGATAATTTGGAAATATCTAGCATTTTACTTATTAAATTATAAAGCATTAAGTAAACCTTTTTATTAAAATAAAAATATCTATTTTTTAAATCATACGTTTTTGCAAATCGCTTTTAATAATTTTTTTTTTAATACCGAGCCGATCATTATTAACAAATCTACGTTTCTCCAAATAAGAAAAGTTTCATTCTTTTCCCAGTAAAGGAATATTTAATATATGATTCATTAACTTTTCAATTTATACAAAAAATATTAATATAATTATCGTAGAAAAGCGTAACAAAGTATGCAATATATTTATAATATTACAAGTTAATTCGGAAAATTTTGGATTTTTTTTTTTTTTGTTTTTGTACAAGAAATTAACTTAGATTTAATGTGATACCTGTTTAACTAGAAAATTCCTAAAGATGTTAAATTTCGGTCAACTCCGATTGGATAAGGATAAGTGTATTTAATATCATGCATAAATACTCTCCATTATAAAAAAAAATTCTTATTCTGGTTTTTCGAATGTAAGGGTGTAATTGCGATAAACATAAAATTCATTCCGATGCAAATTTTTTATTTAATTTTTTTTTTTTAAATTAAAAAAATAAACTTCCACCTTACATACAATAGGCGAACAGAAAATGTCTTACGTATGCCCAGAATGCAATGAAAAATATAATGGGAGTTGGTGCAAACCGTGCAACTCAACACGTTTCAAAAATGATTTTGATAAATGGGCAAGTGGAAATTATACAATAGATAAATTTATTCAAGATACTCAACTAAATGCTGATTATTATAAAGTAATAGAATGGATACCTTATGATAGATTTCAAGATATTAAACAAATAGCAAAAGGTGGTTATGGTACAATTTATTATGCTATGTGGGTTGATGGATTTATTCAAAATTGGGATATTGAAAATCAACGTTGGAAAAGATATGGTCAATTTGAAGTTGCATTAAAAAAGTTTAATGATTTTGTAGATATAAATGAAGATTTTTTAAATGAGGTAAAATTATATTTTAAATCAATGTAATTAATATGAAATTATTTGAAAATATACTATAATTTAAATGAAATGTTATTTAGATGGCACATCTCTCGAGAACAAATGATGGCGCAAGGTCATCTGTTATATTTTATGGAATTACAAAAGATCCAGAAGCTCATGATTATATGATGGTTTTGGAATATTTTAAAGGTGGAAGTCTTCGAAATTATTTAAATAATAATTTTGATAATATCAATTGGAAAAGTAAATTAGAACATTTATCCAATTTAGCTTATAAATTTTCAAAGATTCATAATTTAAATATAGTGCATCGTGATTTTCATCCAGGAAATATTTTAAAAATAAGTTCTGATTCTAATTCTGTATCAATATCGGATTTTGGATCGAGTAAGTTAATTACAAAAAACATAAAAAATTCCCAAAAGAATACCATTTCTGGAGTATTACCCTATATAGCTCCTGAAGTATTAAGTGGAGAAGAATATACAAAGGCTGCTGACGTTTATTCATTTGCATTTGTTGCTTATGAAATAATCACTGGACTTCCCCCGTATCACGATATGTCGCATGATAAAGGGTTGGCTTTAAGTGTATGTAATGGATTTCGACCGAAAATTCCATTTCACACACCTAAATTAATTACACAAATAATCATGCGATGTTGGGACGCTCGAATTACACATCGACCCACTTTTGAAGAATTATGTGAAGAGTTGAGAAAATGCAAACAAGATTATCGTGAAAATAATTATAATAATAATAACGAAATTACAATTCAAATCGATAATGCTAGAAAATTTTCTAACCACTTAATAAATACAGCAACTATAAATCCTTATAATTATAAAACACATCCAGAAGCAATTTATACCAGTAGACTTCTGAATTATTCAAGTCTTCCGAAGCCTAAGAATGATGAAAACTTTGAAAAAGAACTTGAAGAATTAACAAAATCTATCTCTGCTTCAAGTATGGGTAAGTATCAATTATATTCTCATATATTATATCTTGCATTTTTTTTTTTTATATTTTAAAAAATATCAATTCATTTTAATCTTTATTTATGTAGTTGCTTCTGAACCTGTTGGAACTATTTAGCTGCATGCATTAGTTTTTTAAATATTTTCTTACAATTATTTTTACTTAATATCCTAGCATAATTTTCGTTACATTTTATGTTAATTTGATTATAATAAAATGTTCTATTTTATTTTAATAATAAATATCCCAGGATAAATTTAATTTATTCTAAAGAACTTTTTGTTGTGTAAAATTATGTCTAAATAATTTGATTTATTCTTATTCTTATAATCATAAGATTTTATATTTTCATAGTTATAGTCCTGAAATCTAGTTAGGGAGAGGGAATTATTTTATATTTTTTTATATTTTTGATTTGTTATTTTTTTTTGTATATTTATCTATTGTGATATAATTATGATCTTTTTTTTTTTGTTTTTTTAAGTGCAATATTCAAAATTAATGCATATTTTATATATTTCATATTTTCATAATTAAAATTAATCCTATTTGTGGATAATCTCATAATTATTAATGCTGCCAAAATTCAAAAAAAAACAAATTACAACATTAAGTGCCCTTAATTTCGGCAGTACGTA